AGCCAGTATCATAATAAATGGCTAAAAACTGAAGGCCTTTACCTTAAAATCAGGCACAAGACAAGGATGTCCCTTATCACCACTCCTATTTAGTATAGTACTGGAAATACTAGCCAGAGCAATTAGACAAGAGAGAGAAATAAAAGGGGTAAAGATAAGAAAAGAGGAAGTTAAATTATCATTATTTGCAGATGACATAACACTCTACATAGAAGACTCCCAAAACTCCATTGAAAGACTCCTAGATATAATAAATAAATTCAGCAATGTAGCTGGATACAAAATCAATATTCAAAAATCAATAGCATTTCTATACACTAACAACAAAATCACAGAGAGAGAAATAAGAGAAGCCACACCCTTCACACTAGCAACCAAAAAAATGAAATATTTAGGAATTAGTCTCATGAAAGAAGTGAAAGATCTATGTAGAGAAAATTATAATACACTGAAAAAAGAAATTGAAGAGGATCTCAGAAAATGGAAGGACAATCCCTTGTTCATGGATAGGAAGAAAAAATATTGTGAAAATGGCCATTCTCCCAAAACTGTTATACAGATTCAATGCAATACCAATAAAAATATAATTAACATACCTCATCAATCTAGAGAAATCAATCCTAAAATTTATTTGGAACCAGAAAGGACTTAGAATAGCAAAGACAGTTCTAAGTAGCAAAGGCAAGGCAGAAGGCATCACAATCCCTGACTTGAAGTTATGCTATAAAGCAACTTTAGTAAAATCAACATGGTAGTGGAATCAAAACAGAGCTGAAGATCAATGGAATAGATTAGAAGATACAACCATAACTACAAACACACTCAACCACCTTGTCTTTGATAAAGACAAGGTTCACTGGAAGAAGGACAGTCTCTTTAATAAATGGTGCTGGAAAAACTGTCTCTTCATATGCCGAAAACTAAAACTAGACCCATGCCTATCACCATGCACTAAATTAAAATCAAAGATTTGAATATTAAAACAGAAACACTAAATTTATTGAAAGACAAATTGGGTAAAAATCTTGAAGACATAGGGGTAGGTAGAGAATTCATTAACAGGACTCAAACCGCACGGGAAATACTTCCCAGAATCAATAACTGAGATCACCTCTTATTAAAAAGTTTCTGCATGTCAAAAGAAATCTCCAGCATAGTGAAAAGAAAACCCACAACTGGGAAAAAATATTGATGAACTGTCCCTCGGACAAAGGACTTCTGTCTAAAACATATAGAGAATTTTTAAAAATCAGAAAAATTCAAAAATGGGCATCTGAGATGAATACATGTTTCTCAGATGAAGAAATACAAAGGACAAATAAATACATGAAAAAAATGTTCATCATCATTACTCATTAGAGAAATTAAAACCACACTGAGATTCCATCTCACTCCTGAAAGAATGGCCAGGATCAAGAAAACCAACAACCATTGCTGGAGAGGCTGTGAAGACAAAGGAACTCTCCTGCACTGTTGGTGGGAATGTAGACTGACGCAACCATTGTGGAGTCAGTTTGGAGATTTCTTAAAAAGCTGGGATTGGAAGTCCCATTTGATCCAGCTATTCCACTTCTAGGCATATTCCCAGAAGAACTGAAAACATCATACCACAATGATATATGTGCACCCTTGTATACAGCAGCACAATTTGTAATAGCCAGATCTTGGAAACAACCTAAGCTTCCATCAACTGAGGAATGGATAAATAAGTTGTGGTATTTTTATACAATGCAGTACTACTCAGCTATAAAAATGATCACAATGAGATATTTATAAATAAATGGGTACAGCTTGAGACCATACTCATAAGTGAAATAAATCAAACTCACATGTATAAATACCAAATAGTTTCCCTAGTGTAAGAAACGGTAAGAATACATAAAAGTATGTGATAATAATGATTCCCTATTATATTGTTTTGAAGCCTTATAATGTTTTCATTCATTAATTGGAATGGTTTTATTCTGGGGTGTTTGATTTTATTGTCTGTGATGGTATGAACAGTTATTTTGAAGAAAACAAGACATAATAGCTAGTGCTACTTAATATCAGCTTGTTTTGAAGTCCTATCAAGCTTTTGTTCTTCTGTCTCCACTGGTTTTATCATGTTGTATCCTGTTGGATTTTATTATATGTGATAGTATAAACAAAATTTTTTATAGTCAAGAAACCATTGTTTGTTTTCTGTTAATTGGTTCTAAATACCCTGTAATACTTTTACCTTCTTGAATGGTTTTACACTGTCTTGTTATGTTTGATAGTATACGAAGGCGTAATCAAATATTTCAAGGAAAGAGACACTATGGTAACTACTGTTATGTCGGGTTATCCTGTGGTGAAACACTATGTTGCTTAAATTGTTCTGTTCTGACCTGTGCTGTTATGTCCTCTTTCATCTTAATCTTTCCCCTTTTTTATATATTTTTTAAATAAAAAAAGAAATTTCAAAAAACTATAAGCTAAGTAAACCTTTCCTTCCCTAATTTTGAGCATCAGGTATTTTGTCTCAACAACGAGAAAAAAGTAACCAAGACAATTATGAATCCCCAAATACTCTTTGCCAGTTAATTTGAGGTCAAAGGGCATACAATGTTATGCATAGGATGATGTAAAAAATTAAATATAAAATGTTTGACTTCTTAGAGGGACAAAAGAGTCAAAACTCCACATGAGTAAGAAAAAGAAAAAGGAAAGAATTAAAAGTGCATTGCCTAAGAAGTACAAGAGAACCAATAAACAGAAAAGAGGCCATTTAATGAATGATGGATGACTCCTTCCATGGAAGATCTTGCCGAAAACACACAGAATTAGACTCCTTAAATTCCAACCTTAATTTCCTCCCCTGTCCTCTGTAATCACCCAACAATCTCCCTTGACTCCTTCCTTCCTTTACCCATCCAAAAATACTGATGACCAAAAAGTGGAGAAACGCCTTCCCCTGGTTTCCAAGTACCAAGCACAAAGTATAGCACAACTGAGCTTTGCCTTGCAGAAACATGAGCTCTTATGTTTTTCTTCCTAGTCTCCCTGAGAGGAAATAAGGGAAGGTTTTCATTTTAAACCATCTATGCTTTAGTTTCCCTAAAATGAGAGGTAATGTTTCACAGGGCCATTTTATGAAGATAATCAGAAAGTGATGTATAATGTTTTGCCTTTAAAAAGTACAGTCTGTAACTATTACCAAAGGTACCTTTGATACTTTTTTGGGCTCTCCATAGGTTTTTCTGTTTTGTTTTGTTTCTTTCTATTTTTGGTGTGGGGAGTTGGTTTTTTGAAGCAGGGTCTCACTATGTAGTGCAGGCTGGCCTTGAACTGAATGCAATCTGTGGGCCTCAGAATCCTCCTGGGTATTTGGATTAGCCGCATGCTGTGCCACCATGCCTGGAAGTTTTTTATTTATTTGTCAAAAATCTTCTTTGAAAAAAATAAACTTTTAAAAAATCTTCTTTGAATTCCTGTTTTAGGATAACTTCACGGTATCTTTCTATTCCTTAGAAAATGCTCTGGATTATCACCTGATTGGGTCTCCTTTTTAAAATTCTGTACAGATGTAATGAATGTTGGAACTTGAAGACATTCCCAATTAAACACCTTAGATCTTCTCTGCCTTCCTCCCCAAACATCTCATTAAATTAAGAGTAAGAGGGAGAGGAAGAATAAATCCATGTAAACAAACAAAAAAATCAGTGCACTGGAAGATAGCAGTAATAGACTATGTTCGGGAAAATTTGGGGAGCTGGAGCGCATGCATGTGACTTCTTAAATCCTTTATGCTTACTGAAAAGGCCACATTCTAAGACTCTGTAATTATTACTTCTGTGAGGTCTTATATTAAAAATGGAAAATCTACATGCTTTGATTAGAGTATACTACAGATACAAATTATGAGGTCATCCTAATGCTCCAGGAGGCTGAGGCAGTATGATCACACCTTTGAGCCCAACCTGAGCAACCTAGTTGACCTAGCAAGACGCTGTCTCAAAATAAAAATAAAAATAAAAATAAATTGCTAGGAATATAACTCATTGAGAAGATCCTGGGCTCAATCTCCAGTATAGAAAAATACATAAATAAAAATTGGGGTCAGAATGTCAAAACGAGTTAAAGCTCCTATTGGAGGCTCCACTTTTGCTAGGACTGCATTTGTATTTTCCATCCAACACATTGTGTGTATTCTCTAGGTCTGGAAATGAAATGTCAGCGGACCAAATTATTGGTGAGGTACATTAAATAAAAAACGGCAAGTTCAAAAATACCCAAGAGCCCCAGAAATGGCTCATTCATTAATGCAGAAGCATTTTTCTTCTCTAGACACATTCTTTAATAAACCATGCAGAAAACTTGCTCAGAAGTGACTCCATACCATTTTGACCCTTTTAATCTGAACAAAATAAAATGTGTGTTTAAATAGGCTTCAATGAGAAGCTGCTGCTTGAATATTCCATTGAGTCCACTGACTAGAGATCATACTCTCGGGGTCAGGGTCAAAGTCTTGTGCCAGCCTGGGGCGGAAGGCCAAGTGAATAAACGCTTGTTCGTACCTTTGATCATTTTCAAGGAGGTTGTTTTGCAAGATCATTTAAAATGCCTCTGCCTGGCTATGTCCACAAGTAGCTAGCTAAACTCATCACTTAAGCCTTTTCCCGTTTGTGTGCCTTAGTGCACCCGGTCCTGTGCCTGCATCTTCCCTAGTGCGCTGCACTCAGCGATTCTGAACCTCCACACCAGGTGCAGCACATAGCTGAGCAGCCCTGCAATGCGCGCGTCAGATGCCAGGTGCCAGCCGGACCAGACAGCGAGTCAGAGATGTTCGGAATTACTAGGCCCCTGCTCCACCCGCGACCTGCCACCCAACCGTCCCAGACAACCAGCTCGAAGCAGGGCGCGTCCCCCATCTCCAGGATGAAGGCCATCAGATATGTTTCTACCGTCCCCAAAAGCAACTCCTGGGGTCCCTGCTCCCCGTCCCCTGCCCCGCGCTGGTGGCGTCCAGCACATACCCACGTCGCCCAGGAAGCAGCTGTCCGCCGCCCGCGGCTCCATGCGGCTCCCCGGCCGGGCACCTCCGCCTCGCCGCCCGGCTACTCGCGACACTGGAACTGGTGCCGAGACCGGGCGGGCGGCGCCAGGACCTGGGCGGGGCAGCCTGTCAGAAGCCAGCGTCCGCCGGAGGTGGCCGCACGCCGGGAGTTGTAGTTCCTGCGCTCCGGACGCGGTGCCCCGGTTGCGGGCTGCCGGAAGCATACGTCTGTGTACAAAACGTGCGTTTATGCCTAAGTGTGTTGACCTGTGCAGAAATATGTCCTGTGCAAGCACGAGTCCGTGTGCAAAATGTGTCTGTGTCCCTATGCAAAGTATGTGCTTGTGCAAAACGTGCCCATTTGCAAAGTACTGATTTATGTGTTCATATGCAAAGTAGTTCATGTGTCCGCGTGTCCTGCGAAAGTCACGTTTGGTGAACAAAACGTGTGTCTATGTACAAAATAGGGCCAGTTGCTTTGCATGAATGGTATTCCAGAAGGCACCTGAGTCCCTCGAAGCCTAATTGCTGAAGAAGTGGTTTCGACCAGAACTTGTGTTTCTAAAACTTGTGTCTGTGTCTTTCCAGAGAAGTCAAAAATTTTAAGACGTTCAAATCGATTAAAGAAAAATAGCTTCTCCTTAAGTACAGTTTTCAATCCGATGTTCTCCTAAGTCTTAGCAGACAGAAGCTGGCACAGGACCTGGCAGAAATGAAGAGGCTATTAGTGAAATGATTCCAAATCAACAACAAATAAGCTTCCAAACTTTAAAAATTTTAATCTTGCCAAAATTGGCTGCATCCACCTCACAAGATTCACTCACTCAGACCTGTACTGAACTTGAGTGTAGAAGTTTGGTTTAGAAAATAAAAATATCAGGGTCATCTGGTCTGGAAATAGGTAAGGACTAGGAAAAGTCTGTAGTTTGATCTGTCACTCCAAGCAAAGCCTATCCTGTAGTCTCAGTCTAGTTTTAACTGGGTCAACAGGCACTGGATTTAGGAGGCTTGAAATCCAAAACTCCTGGGAATTCAAAGCCCCAGGTCCAAAGGTGACCTTTCAAACCTATTAGCAATGTGTCTTTGCTATTCTCTTTCTGTATTGTCTTTCTTGTATTTTTCCTACAAGTTTTCTGCATTTTTAATAAGCATAATAGATTTTTGTTGATATATTTGCCATAGGATGTTATGCTTTCCCCATGCCAATGCCTCTTTGTATGGTTGTATTTTCTCCAATATTCCTTCCTTGAAAAATGTATTGTCTAGATCTGAGTATAGACCATAAAGTGAGTGCATTCATATACATATGTACATATATATACATACATTTATATGCTTGTGTTATCCAAGTACTTGCTAAATATCTTGCTAAATATATTAAAAAGCAAGTCCTTGTTTTTTGTTTATGTTGTAATGTTTTATTCTGTTGCTTCCTTTCAATATTTTGTTAGAGAAAAGCTTTTTAAAGTTGGAGAAGTGCTGGAGTAGTGTGTGTGTGTGTGTGTGTGTGTGTGTGTGTGTGTAACTGGGGGTTGAGTCCAGGGCCTCACGCATGCTACTAAGTTATATCCCCAGCCTACTTCAAGTTTTGTATAGATTCCCTGAAAGTATTTTCCTTTCATTCAATATTTATATCCCACTAAGAACCCACACATATACATACATATGTAAATATATATACACATGTATTTCTTTTATGTTTTCTGCTAAGTTGCTTATCTAGTTGGAATTTGTTGCAATGAACAGGATGATTGGTTGGCCGCACTGCTTTGCGGCCTATGGCAGAGAAGCATAACATAGTGGCACTGTTACTGGAAACAAGTAGAACACATGAAGTCTGATAATGCAGTGGCAAAGCAGTTACTAAAATTAGCACTTGTAGACACCAAAAAAGAAGGCTGGAGTGATCAACTATTTGCTAGCATAGAAAAGTTTTAGTGAGACTAAAGCTTATAAAGGAATGTATTGGTTACTTTCAACTGCATGGAAGAATTTAAAGGGGAAAAAAGTTAGGGTTTTATCCAGCTCAAAGCTTAGGCAAAGGGTCAGAAATCTGATGTGACTACCATAAAGGAAATTATCATTTTTTATTGGTACCAGGGATCGAATGCATGACTGCACTCATGCAAAGCAGGCGCTTATGCCACTGAGCTAAATCCCCAGCCCAAAATTATCATTTCTTGTAACCATAGAATCAAAGTTTCTGAAAACTAAACCTAAAATATAATGTTACAGGTGACTAAAACAATACAGATAGTATTCTTCACCTTGTGGAGTCTCTTATGGCACAGTTACGATATTAATTGAAAGGGAGTGAACCAAAAATGCAATTCAAGATGGGTAGATTCCTACAGAACTGGAGACCCTATATCTCTAAATTCTGTCAAGCCTTCTTTGCAATAGTAAGAATTCATCCTGTGCTTACTGAGATAATTTTCTTATCTAAAAAACCTATAATGTCCTTATGAGGTAATAGAACCTACCCCTACTATGTCTTATTGTTTCTAGATCTCTAACCAGACAAGACATACCACAGTTACAAAGTCATTTGAGGAATAGGGAAGTATAACACATGCTAAAAGAATTAAGACTTTCACTAATTTACCTAGGCAGAAATCTGAAGAATAGGAATGAATCAAAGGAGCAGTAGATCAGGACTCAAGGTTTTCATTGAGTTTACCACAGAGAGATTCTAAGTTCAATGTGATGGCTCCAAGAGTCAGGCATAATTCTACAGCTGAAATGCCAGAGCTTGCTTGGTATATGTTGGTGGAAGACATCCTAGGATTTGAGAGGTTGTTTATTATCTCAAACTTGCCCACTTCCCCCTAACTTTGACTCAGAAGAGTTTTAAAAACATCCCTTCACTTTGAGCAGCACATGCATGGAGGGGCTTTTGTCTCTATGCCAATTATGGCAAAAGAAACCCTGCCCTAAATTCAGGGCTCCCAGAACTTAATTAAGCTGGGCTCCCTAGATTCATTGGAAATGATAGAATAACATGGTGACAGGGGCAAACTGGTGGCATCTAACTGCTAAAGATGACACAGGACTAGCATCCTGGGCAGCAGAACTAATACAGTAATCAAAATGCTCTGTCCTCAGATTTTTGGTCCTAACTAGCAGATTATGGGGTACCCAACCTGAAATCCACAGGAAGCCAAGTGAAGTCTTACTTGATTTGCACAAGCAGAAAAATTTGAGGTCTTATGAAGAGTAATCTGTCTTAAATCACTGTATTAGGGATGTAAGCCTCTTATCCAGTCGCCAGTTTTGAACCAGTTTACATACCAAGAGTTTCTTGAATTAAGGTGTATTATCCTTAGAAACCAATCCTTACAAAACCAAGTCCATTTGACAATACACAGAGTTTATATTGTAACCTACCTCTAAATTTCCCAAGACTCTGATGGATAGGTTGTACATTTACTATGGAATGAAGGAGGGAAAATATTCAAAATGTTTAAGAATTACCAGTTTCTGGTCCAAAACTGACACTAATTTATAGAAAGTTAGAAATTCTGTCAGTTAGAATACAGGCTGATAGAGAAAATCATGGAATTTGACTCAGGTCCATTTAACATGGACTCTGTGGGCCCCTGAATCCTGTAGTTACTTCTTCACTTCCAGAATTAATAATTTTAGTAGGCACACTAGCAATTGACAGAGTCCCTACATGGATTCCATAAAGCATGGAGGGAAGGCTACGAGGTAGGAAAAGCTCAGTGGAAGCCACCAACACTGCTTCTATTTAGTAAAATGGGAAAGACTAATCTCTCATTCTTGAAGGGATTGCAGAGATTAGTGCCACTATCAAGAACATTAAAAATGGGAAACAGTGATTCCTCTGACATCTCTACTCAGTTCACATGTTTGACCCATGCAGAAGACAGATGGAGCTGGAGAAAGCCAATGGGTTTATCATCAACTTAATCAGGGATAATTCCAGTTGCCACTTCTGTTTTGGAAATTCTTTTACTGATGTTATCCAGCTACTTACATGATGACTGCTTTCTCTGTCTTTCACTTATTAATGAAGACTCTGAGAAACAATTTGCTTTTAGCTGGCAGGGGCAGCAATTCACCTGCACTGTCTTCAACACTCTAACCTATGTCATAATTTACTCTGCAGCAATCTTGACTGCTTTTCCACTCAACAGTTCATTACTGTAGTACATTATTTTAGTGGCATTAAATTGATAGGATCTGATGATTGAAAAAAATGTATGTCAGAGGTGGGGGTAAGTGCCACAACAGTTCAGATACCCTTCACCTCAAAGAAATTTCATTACCTGAAGCATGTCATGAAGCCCTTTCTCAAGTGCAAAGAAAGTGACTGACTAAGAAAGGACCATGATCCTGACTAGGCTTCCTAGGGTTTCTGATGCAATATATTTCTTACTTCAAGCATATATATTTTCTAACATAAGCAGCAGCTAGCTCACAGTGGATCTCTAGTTTCCAAAAGCTTCCCAAAGTCCTCAGCTACATGTGTGGGTAGCTTCATGGCAAAGGACACCAGCATCTTCTGTTACTTAGCCAAATAATGAAGTGTAGATTAAATGAATAGAGCTATGAATTTTCCTCTGATTACTGCTTTAGCTGTATTAACTTTTCATCACCATGATAAAAGCACCTGAGAAAATCAGCTTAAAAGAGCAAAGCTTTAATTTTTGTTTTCAGAAATGTCAGTCCATTATCACATAGCCTAGCTGCTGTTTTTAGGCCTGTTGACAAAGTTTTACATGGAACAACTTGGCGATGGGAAATTGCTCCATTCATGGCAACAAAGAAGGAAATTGGAAGAGATGAGAGGAGAGAAGAAAGTCAGGAACAAAATACACCCTTTGAGGGCACACCAATCATGGTCTTCTTCCTTCAAGTTAGGCCCCACCTCCTGAAATTTCCATCACCTCCCAATAGCCCATCAAACTATGAATCCATAAATAAATTAACCCACTCATGAGCTCAGTTACCTAGCTCATGATCCAATTACCTAGGCTGTGAGCTTTGAGGGAATATTTATGATCTACCCATAACAGGCAGCATAACACAAATTTGATGTTATGATTTCATTTTCTTTCAGTACCAAATATTTTATAGTATCTCTACAATCTCTTCTTCAACCAAGGGCTTATGTAGATGTGCATAGTTTAATTTCAAAATACAGTAACTCTCCAACTTATGAATGAGTCCTGTTCTGGAAGAATTGTAAGCTGGCAAAGTGAATGTTACCTGG